TAAACATACGAGGGCCATTCAAATATAAACCGGATTTTTTTTACAGATTATTGGTAACAGATGAAATTACAAAAGCGATATATTATTTTTCTACATAGTTCCCTTCAACGGAAATGCATTTTCTCCACCGGATAGGTAGCTTCTTCATCCCTTCATCAAAAAAAGAAGAAGGGCTCTCCAACAGCCAATTGCGCACGTACTGCTCAACTACTGCGTCGTCGTTAAATCTTTTCCTTCCTCCTTCAGGGGTTCAAACATATGAAAGTCACATGGGGATAAATCGGGACTGTAAGGAGGATGTTCAAGAGGTGTCTAGTATATTTCTCTGAGTTTATCGCGGATTAAGGCTGTTGTATGAAGCCACACATTGTCATGGAAAAGCAGAACGTCGCGATTGGGTTGCCGACCGGGGGTTGTCGTTTGTTGCTATGCCCACCTCCGATGAGATTTCGACAATAGTTAAGCGCCGATCATCTTCCACAAGTTCGCGAACGGCCCGAATGTTCTCATCAGTGACACTCGATCGCGGACGACGTTCGTGACTTTCGTTTTCCACAGCATTACGATCATTGCGAAATTTGTTGGCCTAATCAAACACTTGGGTTCTTGACAGGGTACCATCTCCAAATCCATCCTGTGCTTGGAGTCTGGTCAAAATTTCAGTTGGTTTGACGCCTTCGTTAGCGAGAAATCGGATGATAATGCGTTGCGCAACAGTCATAGGTACCTCTTATTCAGTTATGGTGCTACTGACGAGGGAACAGTAACTGAGGAATGTTGCGAGGGGTGCTCCCCTCCATACATCTCTACCTAACTACTTGGAACGCCTCGGCTCGCTTGCGGCTCTTTCTGCGTCCGCAGGTAAAAAATCCGGTTTATATTTGAATGAACCTCGTAAATAGAGTCTGCGCGTCACTTCTTCATGAAGAGAAAAGAATCATATCTAAAGCGACTCATTATATATGGAAATTGCCGCTTTCTTTAAATTCTAGGTTATAAACATCGTATAACTGAATTGTTCCGGGTTTAATATAGGCTAATTATAAAGGGCCGCAAAGACACGAGATTGACCAGACCATCTAGCTGCTCGCTGGATTATCTTTAAAGGTACTCCCCTTTGGGATGCTAATGAAGTCGATGCGTGTCGCGTACTATGTGAAGGAAAAAAGTCAGTCCTCACCCTGCATTCCTCCAGACACGAACGAATCCAGCAACTAATCGTTTGCCGGCTCGCTGTCTTATGTGGCTTCCTCTATTATATAATATTCTTATAATGTTATCTCTAGCTTATAACAAAACAATATAACAGATATACAGGGTTTGTCAAAAGTGTGGAAACCCTTAAATAATTTTTGTAAAAATGAAAATATCAAAAAACGGTAAAATACGTATTTTGCTTTTTCAAAAAAGCTACCTTATAACACAGATATCAATCATTTCCCACCCCCTAGTACGCGGGGGTAAAAGGGGGGTTGAAAATTTTTAATTGGATTAAGGGATAAAGAGGGCGGGAAAAAACAGCCTCAGCTAAGGGAAGATCCATTCGAATGAGACACCAGCCATAATTTAAATCGAATTTTACTCTGTGAGTTCGTTTGATTTTCTAATTATGTCTAATGGTTTTAGTCCGGATGGACTATGTAGATGTTTAGAAAGCGATTTGCTTACCCAGTGTAGCAGGCCTATTTCATTGATGGTGTCAATTTTACTTTGTTTATTCCATTATTTTCCTCTACACTTTTATGTGACAAAGGGAGAGAAGAACATTCTCAGTTATAACCCTGTGGCTCTATTGTTTCCGATACATATCTCGACCCTTAATCCAATTAAAAATTTTCAACCCCCCTTTTACCCCCGCGTACTAGGGGGTGGGAAATGATTGATATCTGTGTCATAAGGTAGCTTTTTTGAAAAAGCAAAATACGTATTTTACCGTTTTTTGATATTTTCATTTTTACAAAAATTATTTAAGGGTTTCCACACTTTTGACAAACCCTGTATATCTGTATCGAGTGGGAGCTTATTTGAAAGGTCTTTTCATAACAAACACACCCTTAAAATTTTAAGTCGCTACGACCTCCCATTAAAAATGGCGGCCGTTCAAATTTCGAAATTTCATGCACTTAGTGTTATCCAGGATCAACTGCGTGGAAGTGGCATGAATCTGATCCCTTGTGTGTGTGTGTGTGTGTGTGTGTGTGCGCGTGCGTGCGTGTGGCGTGCGTGTGTGTGTGCGTGCGTGTGTGTGTGCGTGCGGTGTGTGTGCGTGTGTGTGTGTGCGTGCGTGCGTGTGTGCGTGCGTGTGTGTGTGCGTGCGTGTGTGTGTGCGTGCGTGTGTGTGTGTGCGTGCGTGTGTGTGTGTGCGTGCGTGTGTGTGTGCGTGCGTATGTGTGTGCGTGCGTGTTGCTAAACAAGTGTGAATGTGTTGTATGTATAGTCGTGATAGGTTGCAAAACAGACGATTGAAAACTGTTATCTCTCTTTAATGATTCAAAACCTTTTACTCCGTGTTTTAAAATAAATTTTACTCAGTGTGTTAAAGTAAATGCTGAAAGTGGCTGCCATTTACTTCCTGACAATATGCCAATCTTTGATAGAATGCAGAAATGGCTCTATGATTCGTCTCAAAAGGTATCAAATCTATTTCATCCCTTATTCGCTGTATCAATTCTTGGATGCTTTTAGGTTTTGTTTTGTAAACCTTACTCTTCAGGTGTCCCCATAGATAATAATCAAAAGGAGTTAGATCTGGTGACTGAGGTGGCTAATCCTCTCCTCCCTCATTTCTGTTCCTTCTTCCATCATAATGGAAAAGACTCATTTAAAATTTGACGTGGCCCTAAACCAAAATGAGCAGGAGCTCCATCATGCTGAAACCATATTTCTTCGAAATTATTTGAAAAAATATTTCGTATGGCTGGAATTATTTGATCTACAAGTAATCTGTCATACCTTTCAGATCATAGCGTTCAGATTTTCTTAAAAAAAAAAAACCGTCCTATTAAGTAGCCATCTATTATTCCACACCATACATTTATTTTTTGTGGATATTGTGTGTGAGTTTCCCGCACTCAATTCGGATTCTCATCTGACCAGAAACGAAAATTTTGATTATTAACTTCTCCCGTTAACGTGAAAGTTGCCTCGTCTGTAAAAACAATTTGATAAGGCAACATGGGCCGGATATCTACTAGTGCCATCATTCTTTCATAGAAACCTATACGACGCTCCACATCTCCGTCTTGCAATTCTTGAACATATTGTAATTTGTATGGATGGAACTTGTTTTTCCTTAAAATTCTCCAAACGGACTTGGGAGCAATATCGTGAGTTTGAGCGCCTCTGTTAATAGTAGAATTGGGACCTTCAATAAATGTCTGCAGAACGTCAAATTGTTTTTTTTGTTAATGGCAGGTCTCCCTGATTTAGGGCGATTGTTTACGCTATCAGTTTCTCTGAAACGTTCCATTGTTTTTAAGACAGTGGACTTATTAATTCGACGATTCGGATACGTCTCATTAAATAATTGAGCGACAGCAGCGTACGACGGCTCGTTATCACCCCATTCACGCATCATGAGGATAGTGATTCTTTCACGTTCTGACAATTCGCCAGCCATTTTTAAAACGTTTAATTTTAAATCTGCCTAAGATCTGTGAGAACTGATTTTAAGTAGCCGTAAGAACAACTGATTTTAAGTAGCAGTGAGAACAACTGATTTTAAGTAGCCGTGAGAACAACTGATTTTAAGTAGCAGTGAGAACAACTGATTTTAAGTAGCAGTGAGAACAACTGATTTTAAGTAGCCGGTTAATCCTGGATAACATTAATTGTGTGCATGAAATTTCGAAATTTGAACGGCCGCCATTTTTAATGGAAGGGTCGTAGCGACTTAAAATTTTAAGGGTGTGTTTGTTATGGGAAGACCTTTCAAATGAGCCCCCACTCGACCTTTAGTCCAATTAAAAATTTTCAACCCCCCTTTTACCCCCGCGTACCAGAGGGTGGGAAATGATTGGTATCTATGTCATAAGGTAGCTTTTTGAAAAATCAAAATACGTGTTTTACCGTTTTTTGATATTTTCATTTTTACAAAAATTATTTAAGGGTTTCCACACTTTTGACAAACCCTGTACAACACAATCATATTACAATTATGAAACCAAATTATATAACCTTAATATAACTAGAGTATATTGTAACATATGTTATATTACATGTTACTTCTATGTTATATAACAGTTATATTCTGTGTCTGCCGGGTTCATTGTCAAGCATCAAATATCATACGCAGTTATTTGGATATCGTCCACAGATTCGAGATATCTTGATTGACATTTTGATTGACCCATGATCAACTTCTCTTATAACTTTTCGCATATTGTTTGATAATATAAGATGTCCGATAATTAACTGCCAACCCGAAATGTGAAGATAGATTGTGTTAAGACAAACATAAAAGTTCCATACCGTTTTGCGAGATTCGCAATAATTATCGAGTTATTAATTACAGAAATTAGACGAATGAGCGCGCGCTGAGATAGATGATTGGAGAAGCGTCGCAGCCTCTCGGGTTACAGCGCGGTCTAGTCGATTAGCCCAGCAGTTGTTGGCGGCGGCGTGCGGTGAGATGTAAGTGCAGTAAGTGATAAAATACGAATAGCAGCGCATTGTCCTTCTTCTCATCGCGCACCGGCAACAATTGCAGGATCAACTGAGCCATGCTGTGGCCTGAGCAGCTGCAACGCTTTTCTAATTATCTATTCTAATCATCGGCGCGTCATTTTCTGTCATTAATAACTCGATAATTATTGCGAATCTCGCAGAACGGTATGGGACTTTTATGTTTGTCTTAACCAAATCTACCCTCACATTTTGGGTTGGCAGCTAATTACCGGACACCCTGTATACTGCATATTTGCAGCAACTCTAAAGATATATAGATTATTAGCGACTTATTAAGTATAATAAAATATCGATTAGATATCTTCTTCGTATCTTCCGAACAATCACCGACTATAAAAATGTGTGTGTGTATGTGCGTGTAGAGAATTCTTCCCGGTAAAATTCTGCGTTTCACACACATATATGCGCGCGTGTGTGTGAATTGCTTCTAAACATATATTAACAAAATAATAAAATATATGATACCCTTATCATGAGTTAAACCATAGCATTATCATGAATAATTTGCATCACACGGTTGCACATCATGAACTAAATGATTAGGAATTGTGAAGTAATTAGGAAGACTGATAAATTTTAGTCTAGCGAATGTTAAGGTTTTATTGAAGTTCAGTGCTATTTATTTTTTACAGAATGTCTAGTCATGTCGATACATTGTTGATATTATTATGTTTAATTATGTTAGATTAAACTAATCTTGAGTGCTTTATCTATCCTCCTTCTCCTTCTGCCTCTCTCTCTGTACAACAACAAGAGCATTAACTCGAGACTTGATACACTGTTGCGCTCTTTCTTAATTCACTAATTTCTATTAGCTATGAATAGACTAGACAGATTGAACTAGAACAAACAAATAAGGATGACCGTTGTGTTCCCCGACCTTCGTCTCGGAAAACTCTCTCGTACGTGTTACTTATTTTTTCCTTTTCTTTCTGCTTTCCTTTTTCTCCAAACGAAATTATTTCGCGCAGCTAACCACGAGGCTATAAACGAATCTGTGCATCCCTGTGCATTCCACAATATGAACGGCACAACAACAACACGCGATTCACGGGGCGCACGTGGGCAGTAGTTGCATGGTCACGAGATTTCATGTCCGTCCTGGATGAAGAAAATCCCTCAGCAGTGCTGAGAAAGAATGACGAATGAGCCTGGGGGGTTCTTGGCGCAGCTCGTCCCGAAACCGGAGATGTTCTTCGGCGAATATCCGCAGAATGTTACGACGTTACCCGTACACACACAGCGCTCCCAGGTGATAATAACTTCCACGCGCTGTAATTACGTAATGTTCATTAATATACATACGCAGTCGCTGAAAAAGTGAGCGTGAAACGGGAGAAGGGGAAATTATTCAAATGAGAAAAAAGAAATTTCTGCCACATAATGCGATATATCCAGTATTTGCTTTTATCTAGATAAGAATCATGTAGATGATAATGCAGATGAAGTTCTGGCACTTATCTTTATGTAGGCGATATAAATATATGATATGGAATACAGGGCACACACATATACACAAGATATATATTAATATAGGACACTGAAAAAGGTGATCACTTCGGTACCGTATTCTACTCTTCTTAAGGATGGAGAAAGGTCATATAAACATAAGTCCGAAAACTCTTCCTTTCCGAAATATACCCTCTGTCCCAAAAATAACCGCAGTGACTTTAAAACAAAGTAAAAATAGTTAAGAAATCTTGATAAAAATAATTTGATTTATTCGAAATATTTTCCCTCAGTAAAAATACAATTGTTTTGATTTACACGTTCAAGAAGTACATCAAATGATTATTTTATGTCGTTGATTGGAATGGTGTTGAGATTGCTCGTTTCGTTTTGCATCAATTGAATGTCTTTAACTGATGCAAAACGGTTTCCTTTCATCGCTAAATGCAACTTAGGGAATAGAAAATAGTCGCATACCAAATCGGATGAATACAGGGGATGTTGAAGCAATAAAATTTGATTTTTGGTAAAACAATCAGTGACAATTGACGAACGATGAGAAGGTGCATTATAATGCAACAATTAATTTTTCAACCGAAGTACCAAACTACTGTCATTTAAATGCGTCGTATCTTAGCTTCTATTGAATGAAATGTCATGAAACTGTTACAGGTTATTAAGGAAGATTGGCACTTCCTAACTCAATCTCCCACCAACAAAAAGCGCCACTAATTTCGTTAAAATAGAGCTATTCCGGTTATTTTTGGGACAGAGGGTATATAAACATGTTTTTGTTTATGATTGAGTATTGTAGGAATGTTTTTGAAGCTTAGTTAACACGCATGTTGTTAATCAATCTTGATACCAAAACCGATTTTCATGCAACGTATGGGTGGAATTATTGGAGACTTATTTATTGGACCAGTTTTTCTTCCATTTACACTCAACGGTAGAAATTATATACAATTTTTGGAAACTGAACTTTCTGCACTATTATAAGATGTACAGGTTGCGTGAAAAGTTCGCGGAGCGGCATCTATAAGTAAACGGTAGAATTATAAATTGTAGTTGGCTATATAGAATCACTCTTCACATGAACCTAGGTTAGGTTTCATTTCCACCTGTCAATTCTTTCTGTGTTTACAAGCCAATTAAAGTTGACGTGTCAGTATATTTGTTTGCAATGGAAAATTTGAAACAGCGTGCAGTGATTGAGTTTTTTGTTAAAAAAGATTTAAAGGCAATGGAAATTCATTCCGAGATTGTAAATATGTTAGGGGAATCTGCTCCTTCAAAAACAATGGTTTGTAAATGGGCACTTGAGTTTCAACGTGGTCGTATAAGCATTGAAGATGATCCAAGCAGTGGACGTCCAAAAAGCGCATCAACACCAGAAATCGTTGAGCAAATACATGTTATTGTTTCTGAAGATCCAAGTGTGACTACGCGTGAAATTGCTCATACCATAGGTATTTCAGATGAACGAGTACGGCATATTTTGCATAAAGAATTACAAATGAAAAAGGTGTTTGGAGAAGTGGTGCCGCATACGTTAACAATTCAACAAAAACTCGCTCGAAAGCAAATTTTTCAGCGTCATTTGGATCGTTTTAAGAAGAATAAACCCGATTTTGTGCGTCGTTTTATAATTATGGGTAAGACTTGGATCTATCACCATGATCCTAAATTGAAACAGGAACGTTTACAGTGGACCGAAGCTGGATGTTCAGCTCCAAAGCAAACAGAGCATGAAAGATCGGCAAAAAAGGTTTTGGCATCAGTTTTTTGGGATACTAAAGGGATTTTGTTAATTGACTATCTGGAAAAAGGTAAAACAATTAACTCTGAATATTATTGTAACCTTTCGGATCAATTGGACGCAAAAATTCGTGAGAAAAGACCTGGTTTGTAGCACAAACAAATCATTTTTCACCAAGACAACGCACCTGCTTACACAAGTGTTTTGTCAATGTCTAAATTCAATGAATTAAAGTACAAATTGCTTGATCATCCACGTATTCGCCAGATTTGGCACCCAGCGACTTCTATCTGTTCCGAAACCTGAAACAATTCTTCTGTGAAAAGCATTTTTTGTCGAATGAAGAAGCTATAGCAGCTGTAGAGGCATATGTCGCAAACCTTCCAGAAACACACTTCGACGATGGAATAAAATTATTGGAGAGCCATTGGGCCAAGTGTATTGAAGTTAATGGAGACTATATTGCAGAATAAAATCATTTTTAGAATTTGGTATTCTTTATTTCAGTTTCACTCCACGAATTTTTCACGCAACCTGTACTATTGGCAACACGCACTCGAATGTGATTTATGTATGATGGGGCTCCAGTCTATTTTAGTCAAACTGCTAGAGAATATCTTAACAATAATTACACCAATCGATGGGTTGGCAAAGAAGGATCAATTGCCTGGCCTGCACACTCCCTTGACAACTTCTTTAGGTTTTTATTTGTAGGGACATCTTAAAAGTTTATGATATATAATAATACTATTGATAGTCATTGATAGTGGAAATATTCAAAAACCAGATTTGTCGCATGTGAAAAAATTACTGTATATATATATCAGGAATTTTTGAACGTCTTCGACAGTCTCTCCAACGTTAATGCGAAGCGTGTATTATTGCAAAAGGAAATCATTTCCAGCAATTTCTTTAACGTAAGCTTTAAACGTTCCTACAAGACTCAGTTATAAATAAGAAGTGTTTATATCTCGGAAAGGAAGAGTTTCCGGACCTATGTTTGTATGACTTTTTTCATCCTTAGAAAGAATAGAATACGATATCGAAGTTTGGCCTTTTTCGTTGGCTGTATATAAAAAATGAAAAAAGCGTTATTTTTACAAAATTATCTAGAATAATATTCACTCTATTCACATTTGTTTTCTTGTTGTTCGCGTTAGTGTCGTATATATTATCAGACGGCATTGAGATTGAGATTGCATTGAAATTCATCCACACGATCAGGACAAAGTGCTAAGAGGAATTTACGAAAATTTCATTTTATCTTTATCTTCGGTTTTCCTTCTATCTATTATAGCTGATTTTTAAGTCATTTAAGCATAATATCAGTAATATTCCTCTTGTCGCGCTGTCTTTGCTCGTGAATGCTGTCTCCATCTAAGCGAAGATACATGAAATTCGCTTGTTTAAATTTTTCTGGGAAATGTATTTGTTACGTGAGCTGTCTGAGATGGTACGACATGTCTCTGTCGTATTTTCGTGTTTTCCTAACAAGATTTACTTTCTCTCTCCCTCTCTCTTTCTCTCTCTTTCCAAAAACGAATTAATACAAATGTTTCTGAATCATTGAAAAGAGTATTTCACTGGTAATCGGTGAGTGTTTACTGATTTTCAATGAAAACACTTGCTTTGTTAAATTGATTTTTACTAGTAAGAGTAAAATTTCGCTACAAATTTGTAATAAACAAATTCACATGCTATTTTACATGCTATTTTAAAAATTCAATTTTCTACATTTGTGGCAGTGAAATTAATGGTTTCCATGAGTCTTGCGTATGCGATCTATGTTTTAAAACTGCATCAATAGGAACAGTCGCTGCTATCAATTAACTTCTTCAACGGGATTTTACTGAATTATCAGTTAGAAATATAGTATTGCAATGAAAAACATACTGATTGTACTTTACAGAATGGCTAAAACGTTCAATAGGCAGTCTGTCAGCTTCTGGCACTCGAGTGGATTTTATCAAATATTAAGATGTATGGAGACTTTTTGGTGTACGGATATCAGATCGAGTTTTGTGAAAAAATAAAGTGATACGAAAAAGTGACACAAAATGAATAAAAGTGATACAACGTTTTTCTGTTTATTCAGAGAGTATGTGAATATTTAAGAGGAATATAACCGTGTTGGGCTAGTCGAAAAATATGACTCGATTTTTGAGTAAGCTTTCTTAAATCGTGTGTCAAAATGATCGAATAAAAGCCAACGCAGGTTATTATTACGAGCAATAATTTCAAATAAATAACTTTGAAAAATGTGTCACGGAGATGTTGATATCAACGTTTCGGTCTTTATTTCTTAAGAAATATTTTTCTTTTCAGCACAAGCGGTTGATTGCAAATCTTTCAGTATTAGGCAATATAAAGTGACATTTAAATATCTATAACTTTATTATTTTTTCTATTTCATTTTTATAGTAATCGCCATAATTTTCGTAAATAGTTGTCTATGATACTTTGTCTGCGATATTTTGGCAGTATTTTAATATTTTTATTGTAGAAGACGATCGTTTCACGGTTGAGAAAGCTAGAAAATTGAACCAGATTCTTTGACTTTGACTTAATGTTATAAAACTAGATACGACACTTACAACATAGTCCGGCATATCTGTTGCTGTAGGACATCCCGTAACTGCCACACGCCGGCTGACCTGATTTGTAAGGTTGATAACCGAGCACGTTCCCACTGAAACGCAATTTTTAATGATGTCAGAGAGTCTCCCGGACGTTTTTAACTGGTGAGTTTCACTATGTGTGTGAGTGTATGAGCGAGCCAGGAAAATAATTATAAATTGCTCGAGTCTCGCGAATATTAGAGGTAGTTGTCTCGCGATAATGTTGTCGAAAAGTTTAGTCATATGAGAGGGAGCAAAAGTCGAATAATTTAGATGAAATACAAATAACAACAACGCATATTTCTGAATGCGTCATGTTAGTATTTTGTGAATAAGATATATGAAAAAAGTGCAGTTATATATTTGAAGTTGTACATATATTTGTATTACATTGAAATCATATAACATATTTGAAATATATCTGATAAAAATTTTATATTTGAAATTATCTTAATAAATTAATATCTTTTCGTTCTGATTAATGCGAAGTTTTGGTTGAATTGCCTCCAGTGTACCAATATCTATACGGTAAAATGATTAAAGATAGCGAGACTTTTATCTCGAATTTTGTAACGCAAAAGTTTTCGTATTTAATTGGAAATTTGTATTTCAATAATTCAATAAGCAGATACTTTTTTCTATTGGATATGAGATATGTTGCAAAATTCGTTGAGGCGAAAGAGATGTAGATCTTAATTATTTGATATAAAAATCATTTATATTTATATATGCTTTTTAATGTTCTTTGCACTAAATTCGTATTAAAACATCGTCTTCTTTTGATTTCCTCTCTGGAATGTAGAATAAACTATAAGTTATGCTCTAATTGTATGCTCAAAAAAAACAATCAATAATTTTGACTTATATATGTATATACATATATAAGTCAATCAATTAAAAGAGTATTATATGACATCTGTTACTTTTTAGCCATTAAAGTTATATTATCTTTCTAATATTATTGCAGTTTTTTTGATTAAAATCTTAAATGTAGATTACAAGCTAAAATTAAAAATAAGATTTTGATATCAGCATGTATGAGAAGACGCGTTTTAAGAATGTTAACTTTAATTGAAAATATTTCAAGTTTTATACGGTGAATCTTCTTCTAATTGCACTCCAGCAGTTAAATAATATATATTTTGATCGATATGTAGTCTAAATATTTGAGAATTCCCAATAAATTTATTTTGCGAGACAACTACATACATATTCTCTCTCCCTTTCTGTAAAAATCGCATGCGCACCGCACGCGGAAACATCTACCGCACATATTATTGAAAATAAATACGTCACCATGCGGCTGGAGACTGCGAGATCTGAAGAATTTCCGCCACATGGTCTCTCTTTTTGAGAAAATATTGGGTGTACAAATTAGTTCGGTCCGTTTTCAAAAGATGGCTCCGGCTGTTATGAATGGTTCATAGTGACTGCCGATTTTGGCGGTTTCAGAGAGGTTAGACATCTGCCAATAATATTCAGTTTATATCGCTTTGAGTTTCATACAAAAACCTTGCTTTTTACAGTGTTGAAAATGTCGAATTTTGTGTTAACCAAGCAGCATTTGCGGGAAGTTTTAATTTTCTGCTTTAATTGGAAGAAAAGTGCAGCTGAAGCCCATCGAATGCTTGTTGAAGTTTATGGTGATGCTGTTCCAACTGATAAATCATGTAGGGAATGGTTTCGACGTTTCAAGGATGGAGATTTCAGCGTCGAAGACAAACCTCGCTCTGGACAGCCAAAAAAATTCGAGGACAAAGAATTAGAGGCATTACTCGAAGAAGATCAGAGTCAAACGCAAGAGGAGCTTGCAGAATCATTGGGAGTGACTCAACAAGCCGTTTCCGTACGATTGAGAGATATAGGAATTATTCAAAAACAAGGAAATTGGGTGCCTCATGAACTGAAACCGAGAGACGTTGAAAGGCGTTCTTCATGACAACGCTCGGCCTTATGTCGCAAAAGTCATAAAAAATTATTTGGAAACGCAAATGGGATATTTTACCGCACCCGCCGTATTCTCCGGACATTGCTCCTTCTGATTACTGGTTGTTCCGAAGGATGCAGCACGATTTGGCAGGCCACCGGGTCACTTCTTTCGCAGATATCGAAAATTGGTTCCAAACTTGGATCGCCTCAAAAGACGAGTCATTTTTTCGAGATGGAATTCGAAAATTGCCTGAGAAATGGGAGAAAGTAGTAGCCAGTGTTGGAAAATACTTTAATTGATCTGTTCATTCATTTTGTTTTGAAATAAATACATCTTTTAACACAATAAAATGGACCGAACTAATTTGTACTCCCAATATTTCTTCACTTTTCCCTTCCTTTTATCGAGAACTTTTACGGTGAACATGCGGAACTGGTGCTCACACGTTTCTTCGCAACAGAGCGCGGTTTCTCGATAAGTAAGGTAGCAGCGTGTCATACGTATTCATAAGAGGAAACTATCCTAGAATTATAAGAAGCTCGTCCCGAGAGCGGCGTAGGGGAAGGGGGAGAGAGCTATTTCGCTTCCGCGAATAAAAATCTAGCCGCAGCAATATACTCCCTTTCGATGGGATCGCTCGCATTTTCATAGCCGAATGCCCAAGAAACGGCGAGTGAGGAGAGGTGGAAGAGAAGAGGGGAAGACAAGGGAAGGGGTGAGAAGGAGAGGAAAGAACCCCAGTGTACTTTCGAGAGAGAACTCTTACCTCGGCCCGTAGTTGCATACGTAATTCTTGGTGTAGCCGCGAGCTGGATCGTAGTAGAACGAGTATCCGCATCCCAGCAGGAAAGTGTCGCCCCACACCAGCTGGAATTAATTCAGAATGTTTTCCGCTTCTTAAAGACGTGGCGAATTGCGAGCGAAAGAAGCTCGGTCTCTCCTTCTCTCGTTCGCGAATCGGTAAAACCGATTAAACTCGGAATATTCTTTGAATACGCCCGCGTATCGCCCCGGGACAGGCGCGACCCGGTGTAAAGGAGTTGTAAGATCCTTAAAGCGTTAAGTACCGGAGAGATATGGGAGGGGAGCGACAAAGTGTTTCGTGTCTTTATCGGATCGCGTACGGCTCATGGTTTCTTTCACCGATCCAGAGGAATTGATTCCATCTCGGTCGAGGGGCATCGCGATAGCGCTAATAGTTTTTCAGCCGCAAAGGATGTAAGTAACTTCACGGGAATGAATGTTACGTTTCTTTAAGTAAAAAGTTTACGTTAAGTTTGAAGGATTCGCTGTTAATGGGGACTTGTCGATAATCTCTTCGTCGCGAATTTATAAGACGAACGTCTCGGTAACCGAACATCTAATATAACCAAAGGCCAAGAATAATTCAATTTTGTAATAATGTATGGCATTTAGTGATATAGTTGTACAATTAATTAGAAACTGAAGTGTAAACATTTATCAGAATACTTTTATATAGAATTAATATATAAAAGTTATTTAAAAGATAATAAAACTTTTAAAGCGAGTTCATATACGAGTGAAGGATCAATGCAGTTTAAACATTGATTGTTCATATTATAAAATTTTTTTTATTCAATATTCAGATAATTGTTATGAAAATGAAATTTTCTACCGATTTTGCAGTTTATTTATAACAATTTGTGGCAATAAGTTTGATAATATATTTATACGCACACATATGAATATTTTATAAACAATGTATAAAATAACTCTTTTTCATAATTTTTTAACTAATTCTCGACTAATTAGGGCAGCTATCAATCATGATGTTACATTGTATTAATGAGAGATGACAGAAGATTTTTAGCTGATAGAATATTTTTACAACACACAACTGTACAAGATGTAACATCAAAGTCCATGTAGATCAGTATAACTTATCTGCTTTTATTCGGACGATAATGCAGAGATTGCTAGAAAAGTCACTCGTTAATTTTGTTGATAATGGTATTTGTAGTGTTCCCAGTTATGACGATTGCAATTAACTTTGCACTGTGATCGTTATGACAGTTTATTGACTGTTTGCGGCAGAAATCGAGCCTCATTGAATTAAAAACGTTGTTTAAAAAAGTGAAACTGAGAAATAAATATTACAGATTTACAGAGTAAATAAAAGTAATTGTTAAGAAGATAAATAATACAACATATTTTTGTTTCACATAATTTATTTCTTGCATTTCTTGAAAAGTTCGATAGAAAGTAGAGATTAGAAAGAACCGTATATATTTAGAAGTCTTATATATTATATTCCATCCACGTTTTTACAAAAGATCGCTTCTGATCAACAACAACTATCAAACCTTATTTTAAATAAAAGAGGCGTCAAGATACAAGACTATGATATACCAGATAAAAGTTCATGGTTCCAAGGGGGACATAAAATAACTATATCATTTTGTTTACAGATGGTGCCACTTTCGAGATATTCACTGATCATTATTTTTCTTAAATAGAAACCCCAAATTTTTATCATATCATCTTTTCTTACCAATTAATTTAAATAACTTTTGACTGAAACATTTTTTTATTTGCCTAATATTTTTTGAAATATTTAAGGTACTTGGTAACTTTTTCAACATTTAACTTACAATATCTCGCTAACTATTTGTTGAAAGATAAAATAGTACTAAACGTTTTTACTCTACTTGGTCTCAAGAATATATTGTTACAATAGTGTCTTAACTTATTTTAGCTTATCGACCTTCGGAAATTTTGAAAATCATCAAATTAACAAAAATCAGGGTGCTATTGTAACAATATATTCTTGAGAGTACTAAATAGAGTAAAAAAGTCTAGTACCATTTTTTCTTTCGACAAACAGTTAGCGAGATATCGTAAGATAAATATTGAAAAAGTTACCAAGTTTTCTTTAAATATCTCAAAAAATATTAGGCAAATAAAAAAATGTTTCGGACAAAAGTTGTTCAAATTAATTGGTCAAAAAATGTGATATAATAAAAGTTGGAGTTTCCATTTAAGAAAAGTAATGGTCAGTGAATATCTGGAAAGTGGCGCCATCTATAAACAAAATGATATAGTTGTTATATGTCCCTTTTGAAATCATACAACTTTTGTCTAAAACGTTTTTCTCCAAAATACTTAGTTTTTGAAAGAAAAAGGGGTGTACGTGTGATCTCAGGCATCCTGTATAATAAATATATAAGGTCGTATTATTTATCTTCTTAACTATTATTCTTATTTGCTCTGATTAAATCCGTAATGTTTATTTCTCAATTTCATCTTTTTAAATATCTTTTTTTAATTCAATGAAGTTCGATTCCTGTCATAAACGGCCGATAAATTATCATAATGGTCAGAGTTAGTTTCACTCGTCATAATTAGGAGCAATACAAATATCATTTTCAACAAAGTCAACGAATGACTTTCTCGGCAACATCTGCATTATTGTCCGAATAGGAGCAGGTAACTCTATATACTGATTTATATATTGATGTTATACCCTTATCTATATAAAGAGATACATAAAGTTTGCTGAGTTAAGGAATTAACATAATAGAACATAGAACATAGAATTAACATAACATAATAGAAATATAGAAAATGGAACAGAAACATTTGAATTAATAATGAATATTTTCTGTATATATTCAGACATAAGAATATGTTTGACAATCGATTTAAAAAAGATTGAGAAAATTGCTTTTTAAGAAGTAATTTGTTACCGGTTATCTTATTTTATTGAAAATAACTTACCGTTAATGCTACTTAAGAAGTGACAGTTGTTACTTCTTGTAGCTTTCCTCCCCAAGTTTTAAAGTTTTGAAAAACTTCACGATTATTTAAGATGAGAAAAGCAGAAAAATAACGCCGAGTGCTACCAAGTCGTAACTGAAGAGAAGTAACTCGTAACATGGCGGACATGTTATAGGTAACACGTTACTTTCCTCAACCCCATTTTTATCTTATACATTTTGCGACGAAGTGACATATCGTTCGGCGAGTGAACATTATTTTCCGCACGACCAGTTTCAAAAAGACCCAGCACACACGTCTACCTCATGAAAATTCATGGAACAACGACAACAACACCGGCAACAGCGAGTTAATATGCTTCAGTTGCAGTTCGGGGACCGGATGACGCCGATAAATCGCGAGTTTTACAGGCTTGCTTCTCGGCACTGACCTACGAAATTCAAAATCAATCTTCAGGCATTTGTCGCACCGCACCATTCTAAATTCCACGTCCGACGAAAGGTTAACCCCTCCCCCGCGATATATTCGGTTACGTCGATGATCTTTTCGTGTTTCCAAAAATACCATATAGATAGTCAGCGCGATAAGCCCCGGAGAGTTCATCTTACTTTACGGCTCGGCCACGCGTTTTATAGTAATCCGATGCAACGAATCAGCGATCGTTGAATAATCAATCGTGATCGCGGATCGAGATCACGAATAAATAATCGATTTATCTTTCAACGTAACAAGGAACGATTCTTAATGAGGGATATCGAGGCGTTTATAACGTGCTTGTATACCCGTCCGGAGTTACAACTCATGGCATCGACCGCTATTACCTAAGATTAATATGAATTTTTTTTCATAACATATTCTTCTGCCTCTTTATCCTTAATCGACGAATATTCTCACTTGTGCATTCGAATCCATGATATAATTGAGACTTTACAGAGATGAAATAATATTCCACGATCCGGTTGTGCCGCTCGTCGAACCTTAACCCGAGACTGAGACTCGCGAATATAGGAAATTGAATAAAACAGGAAAGGACGGCCTGAGACTCCTGTTGCTGAAACGAAGCTCGCGAGTCGCGAGTGTTGCGTTGTTTGTGAAACGTGAAGTGGATTACGCACAGTAATTCAATACGCGACCAAGCAGCAAGCCGACTCGAGTTGAATTTTAGAATACACTGTAAGTCTCACAAATGTCGAGTCATGCCTCTGAAAACATTCCTTGTGCGGGCTGGAAATCCCATTTTGAATCTACCAGCGCCTTCTCTTCACTCTCATTTAGCCTTGTATTGAATTGTCCAAATATCGTACAGATTTCAAGCTCTAGCGACGTGCTTCTCTAAACACTCTATTCTTGCCCTTATATGATTTATTTTTTATTTTATCGCTTTTAAATTTTCCACTCCTATCAAAATTTTTTTAATTGATAAAAAAATGAATAAATCGAAGAAACATTATTATTATTATATCTGTTATGTACAAGGTGTCTCTGAATTCGTAATTTTAATTTTTCTGAGAGGTTCATCAAGTAATTTGAAGACTCTTCTTATGCCGAAGCGTTATTATTTGTGGCAACTTTTCAATTTCCAGTATAACATTAACTTTGTAGTTAAGTCTCAAATTAAAGTTCCGTTAAAATGAAACTTTAAAGTTAATCGAAGAAGATCGTTTTGTTCTGCACTTGTGCTCGCTCAAAGTTTAATTTCCGAAGGCCCTTTTTTTCCAATCGTTTGTGTGTTAGAAATTATGCGTAGACATTTTTGTTGAAGAAAACTGATATTTCTCGGTAAATTAAGGTTCACGAATCCAAGAACATCGTATACACCATATATAATTTTTAAACCATTAATTACATTAAGTAATTAATTTTTAAATTTTACTGCAAAGAAAATAACAATGTCAAATTATTTATAAAATTAAAGATGGATAATAGTTTGTAGTATTGTATCTTGAACTTCTTCATCGACTCTGGAATTCTACAGATTTGCGATTGTCAAATACTTCAAAGCTGAACAATCGTTAAAGGCGAAATATTTTAAATGATCACATGTCAAACAATAAAAGAGACAAATAGACAAAGAGATAAATTTCTTGAAAAAATCGAAATCCCGAAAAATCGAATTCATGTCTTTCTTATATCTCAACAGTAATAATGATAATATATAAAAATTTATTTGTCTTGGTCCACATTACTTTTCAAGGAAGCTATGACTTGAGACAAATAAAATTTTGTTTATTATTGCCGTTAAAATATAACATGCAAAAGAACATGAATACGATTTTTACGTAAGAGAACATGAATAATAAAATATAAATATAAAAGGACATAAATATAAATGACCACCGCAACGCTGATAAGCAACAGTTGATAACTACTGCTTAGATCAAGTATAAACCGAAGAGATTCGCCAGATTCGTATGGTAAAACTCAGAGAGATTTTACCCAAAAAAAAAGTATTCTATTTGTAAAGTGATTTTTCCCATAGTCTCATATTCTAAGCGAAGATTTTTACAGGCAAAGGATTCCTCTTGCAACAAACGATTAAAATGAACCATTCATTTAAAATTTATTCGATATTATTCTATAACTGTTTTCCTATTATTTTAAAAGGATTTCCTCTTACATTAATCAATTTTCTTTTTATATGAAGAGGAATATGTTGATTTGAATGTCCACTTCTTTTGTTCAGTCATACTCTACTTCCAAATATGAACGACAAAATAACTATATACTCATCGGTCAGAATATTTGAAATGTTTTTTAAAAAAGATATGTGTTGCTATAACATAATGAAGATAATTTGGCCAAATATAATATTTGACCATATTTGGTCAAATATAAATACAGTTTATCATCTATTGCAAAGAGTTGAATAATATATTCTTTCTTTTAACTATGTTTCATACATTTATTGTAGAACTGAAGCCAGAAATATATTTATATATATTATTTTTCGCATATTATATTATAATAATTTTTTCAAATTATCTAGTATAATCAGTAGGAATAAAATGCAGTAAGAATAAATGGTTGTGACGAACATCTTTGTAGCTATGAAATCCATAACAAAACTGATTAGAAATTTATTTGTTATGATGATTTTATTTTATTCATGCCTATTTATTGTAGAACTGAAGCCAGAAATATATTTATATATATTACTTTTCGCATATTATATTATAATAATTTTTTCAAATTATCTAGTATAATCAGTAGGAATAAAATGCAGTAAGAATAAATAATAATCCTCTTAAAAAAAGATTAAATAATATGTATATAAGAGGAAATTTATATTAAAATCAATAAAATTTGTATTATACATATAATTCCTCTAACTTTAAGAATAATATATTTATAATATTTATTTTTAATCTTAGAGGAATCTCCTCTTAAGGACATATATAAGAGTAAAATCTAAAATTTAGATGATTCCGTTTGTTCTGAAATTACCTTTTTTTGGGTTTTTATACGACTCAAACATTGAAAAATGAATTACTTTGAAAACGCGTCCACAGCATCAGAAATAAGGTTAATGTGGAGAACCGAAATTTCAATCCGGCAAAGCGGCGCTTTTCGGAGCAAGCGCTCGAATTTGTGCGATTTCGTTGGCCGCGTGAGTTGCTGTCTGTTACGCACCTGAGTGTAATGCCCGGTAGCTTTGCTGTAACCCGTGTGGTAGTACTGCACTTCGTTGAACCAACCGGAAATTTGTCGTCGCCAATTCGGCTCACCGTCGTAAGGTCCCGGGGGCCTGGTCGTCCATGTGCGAGCGATGTTCTGTCCTACAGCGAATCTGCCTGCAAATCGAACCAGCAATCTTTTGATCGCTTATCGATGCGTTGACGGATGGGGAAAAGTGCGTCGAACTCTCGTATCTGCGACGTTGGAAAACGCTCGTTGTGCCGTCGGCGAGGACTCGCTTCTGTCATCATGTGTATTCCCGGCGGTTAACGTCGCTTCCACAAAGACATTAATTAACAGCGCTTAAACGTCGGAGGAGAAAAGCACGACTTTCTTATTACTTGCGTCAGTTCGATAATAAATATAAAATGTTTCACGCGACTCATGCATTCGGCCGTGTGCAGGTAGAAATTGTTAAATTGTGGAGAAAAATCTGCGAACCTCCACCATTATTGTTATTGAGTAGTTGTTGAGATATCAATGGGAGTAAATTGATCGATCAATGCGCGCGATGCGTTGGCTCTTTAAAAGCGAGGTTTTATCCAAGATATTTGAACCTATTGACGATTTCTTGGAAATGGCGGACGATGCTGGACAGTGCAAAATTATATCAATTTAGTGCTAAGAAAAGCGATTATTCAGTTTATTCTTCTTCTTTTAACAGATAGTTATCTTCGATAAAGAATATTTTCATGATAATAGCCTTCAAATATACTCATCACAAAATTTAGAGAAGCTCATATTATTATTCAAAGAAAGAATTTATTCTTTTTCCGGGAATAATATATAAAACTTATACTTCATATAGAAAGCAAACCAAACTGTTGTTGTATAATTTAATATTAAATATTACAAAATTTATTAGAATTGAGAATGTTTTTTGAGTAAGTTTGATATTTAACATATATAACGAACTAATAGATTTGCGGATATAAACTTGTAAAATATTTGAAACAAGTGACATTTACTTAAATATGCACAATATGTACCTTTCGTGTGCAGTTTCCGTTTTTCTCATTCAGCAACATTTTTTTCATACGTGGACATGTAATTCTACATGATTCTACATGATTTCGTATGCGTGTTTGTATTTCTGTATGCAGAGGTTACATACTATCCAGCATTACGTACCGCTTGCCATTTCCGGGTTTACAAGTCGATAATCCGGAATGAAATCAAGTTAAAATCACGTGGAAATCAACGGCTGATTTGATATTCTCAAGATTTCATCGCGGTATCTGGCAGATATGTACAAATATCGACGATCTAATCGTAATTTAATTTATTTTTTAACCGAAGCGATGCATTTATAAATATGTGTCGACTCGACTTGAATATGATATTGGCTAGATCATCAGTAATCGGTTAACTCTTATTTTCTACGAATCAAATCGATATCTAGGTATCGACCGTACATCGATACGATATTGATAAAATGTTATGCGGATTTACCGTCAATTTATATCGATAAAGAATCCGGTCGTTATCGTACCGAGAAACCATCATATCGAAGTGATTATCGACTTGTGAATCTGAGTTGCTAAGAAGTTGTTAATAGATTCAAACTTCTGAATGAATAATAATATTCGGGGTCAAAGAGCTCGTTCCATTGCATCACGCGCACTTATTTGCCATAATATTAATTTTCCATAATATTAGGAGTGTCATTTAGTTTTGAGGGTTTTTTTCTCAAAATTGATTTACTTAAACAAGATAATGAACGAATATCTTAATTAAAATATTTTCCTTCGTTTTCTACAACTTCTTACCATTTTTCTGGCAAGAGATAAATTCTGCGGCGATAAAATTCTTCTTTAGAGTTGATAAAATTTTCAACAATTTTTCGCATTCATTCGAAGTTATGAAAGAATGTATCCTTTAGAGTATGTTGCATCGACCGGAACAAGTGATAATCGAATGGAACAATATCTGGAGAATACGCGAGGTGCGGTAAAACTTCCCATTCCAGCTCTAGTAGCGTTTTCTTCACTGATAATGCAACATGAGGTCGAGCATTGTTATGAAGAAAGATCACTTTGCGTCATTTACTGGCAATTTGGTGATCGTTTTTGGTGCAATGCTCGCTTCAATTTGTATAATTGTTGTCGATAACGATCAGCGGTGACAGTTTCATTCGGATTTAACAGTACAGTTCATAGTACACAACACTTTCTTGATTCCATCAAATACAGCAATATGAACCGTGAATTGCGCCTTGAAGTAGATGTTGCCTGGTTGGCCTGGATCAACACATGATATTTTTCGTTTGGGATTATCAAAATAGATTTATTTTTCATCCCCAAGTAACAATTCGACACAAAATATTCTTCATTTTTTATCTGGCGATCAACGAAATGTAAAGCATATTCAACCGGTTCACAATGGCATTTTCCGATAATTGCTGTAGAACCCATTTTTCTTCTTTGTGAAACCCATATCATGTAAACGTTTTGTTGTACGATCAACATTTAATGTTCTGGCAAGTTCTGAAATGGATTATGCTGGATTTTCGTTCAATAATACTTGTAAATCTGCATTTTCAAGCTTTATTGCTTGTTTCGAGCGATCTTTGTCGTTAACATTAAAATCATCAATCAATTTTGTATCGTCTGAACCAATATTCGCCTGTTTTAATTGATGGAGCAATATCACCATAAGTTTCTATCAGAATTCTATGACCTTCAACCGCTTTTTTCTTTTGATTAAAAAATAAAAGCAAGGAATGTCGAAAATGCTTTTCACGAAGCTCCATTTTTTAAATGATATTAACACGATTTTTATTGCGTCTATTGTTAGCAAATGACTAAATATCATGGATTAATATTAAAGCATTAAGAAACAATAGCTGTGATTAGAATGTCTTCGACAAAATTGACATTAGTGTCATCTCTTGCAAAACCCCGAAAATTAAATCACACTCCTAATAAATATCTCAAAAATTATCGTGCTGATTTGCTAAACGCTTTGAACTTTTTATCTGGTTTAACGCGGTTCTTGCACACGAGCGGACATACGTGTTGCATCGGACACCTAATATATCAAGAATAATGAAAGATCGCGCATATAACGCGATATCCTGCTGTATAACGTGGCTCTTAAAAAAAGAAAAAAATAAAAGCTCCATTTCACATCTGTTTCAGAATATCAGTTATATCGCAGACAGTTCAATTATTCGTAATAACTATAGGATATTTAACTACCGACGAGCTGCCGCTCGTACATCGCCGTTGTGATTCATTTAAATAAAAGGTAGGGCGGGTTATTTGTTTTTAATTTTTCCGCGACGTTTTAGTTAACGCTGATATATAAAACAGATGCGCACTGCGCTGCCATTAAATTTCATCCTTTTTGAAAGCTCTCCCTCGGTGGAAAAGAAGGCAAAACATAAAAACGAAAAAAGAAGAGAAAGATATCGGAATACGTTAATGAAAGAGAGGTAAAGGAGATATGAGGATCGGAAGGGTAAGGGAAGGAAGAGGGGTGCTTTGAAAGCTCAATCAAATGGCAAGTAGTGCGCACGAGTTATAAGACACTTAATAAAATCAGCGTAACGCGATTTGTAGCTACGCGACCTCCGGGCTGGCGTTTTAAACGTTGCTACAATTTGTGCGCGGCTGTTGTCAAGATCACCGAGAGCGTGTGCGATGCACTCGACATTTATTTTCGAATATTACACCGTCGATGAATACGCGATCGTATGACAACCGTATCCCTCGAAACGCATCGAAAGCGGAAAGCGCGCAACGCAAACACATAAAGCGCGTCCAGGCACACGAACAAAAAAGGAACAAACACGTCTCAGTAATGGAAATTTATTAGCTATTGGTCGGCGGTTATAACTTTTCCAGAATACCGACACGTGTTGTAGGATATAACAGCAACATACAAGTCAGTATGATAGGTTGCTTGCCCCTATTCGGATGATAATGTTGAGGTTACCGAAAAAGTCACTTGTTGACTTTGTTGATAATGATATTTGCCGTGTTCCCAGTTATTACAAATGCAACTAATTTTACACCGTGTTCATTATGACCGTTATCTTATCCGTTAGCCGACCGTTAGCTTATCGACCGTTTACAGACAGGAGTTGAGCCTTATTGAATTAAAAATATGTTTATAAAATGAAACTGAGAAATAAATATTACGGAATAAAGCAGAATAAATAAGAGCAATATTTAAAGAGATAAATAATATAACATATTTCCTGCTTTAGCATAATTTCTTAATTGTTTTCTCACGTTGAAAAGTTCAATAGGAATTGAAGATTAGAAAGAACGATACAGAAATATTTAAAAGTCTTATATACTATATTTCATCCATGTTTCTATAAAAGATCGCTTCTGGAAAAGTATGAATAGACTACAAACACAATACGAGGGCGGTCCGATAAGTACTTAGCCTCACCGCCCGATGGCGCCACTATCGCAAGAGAAATTTACTATCGTATAGTACATTCTCGTAGACGGCTACTGTCGAAATTTCAGCCGAATCGGACTCGTAGTTTTGTTTTGACCGCGTGTGGAAGCGGGCATGTCCGCGGATTTTAGAAAAATGGAAAAAGAGCAATATCGGTCGGTGATTCGATTCTTGTTTTTGGAAGGGAAATCGCGCAGCGAAATCAAAGAGCGCTTGGATGCTGTGTACGGTGACTCTTCTCCTTCGATGGCGATCGTCAAAAATTGGTTTAACGAGTTTCAACGTGGTCGCACGTCGATTTTTGATGAGCCACGCCCAGGTGCCCCGAAAACGGCTACCACGGAGGATAACATGACAAAAATCCACGATCTCGTATTGGCAGACCGCCGATTGAAGGTGCGCGAGATAGCTGAGACAGTAGGCATCTCAAAAGACCGCGTGGGTCATATCCTGCATGAAATTTTGGGCATGAGAAAGCTGTCGGCGCGATGGGTGTCGCGTTTGCTCACTCCGGACAACAAGCGCAACCGTGAGACCACTTCAGAGCAGTGTTTGACGCTGTTTAAGCGCAATCCGAAGGAGTTTCTGCGTCGTTTCGTGACCGTCGACGAAACATGGATCCACTGGTACACACCAGAGACCAAGGAACAGTCGAAACAGTGGACTTCACCCGGCGAACGTGCTCCGAAGAAGGCGAAGA